TCCGGTCATGGGGCCTGAACTCTGGGCCTGGGTGCTGTCCCTCAGCTCTTCAGCTCAAGGCTAGCGCTCTACCACTTGAGCCACAGCACCACTTCCGATTTCTTTTCTTTTTTGCTTATGTGGTGCTGAGGAATGGAACCCAGGGCCTCATGCATGCAAGGCAAGCGCTCTACCACTGAGCCACCTTCCCAGCCCTTAAATGTAGAACTTTATAAGATGTGTTCATGTGACAAAAACCTAACTTTTTGATACTTGTTTATGTCAAATATGAGGGACTTTTTTTTTTCTCTCTCTCTCTTCCACAGGTTTTTCAGGTGCAACAGGAACATTGGGACAAGTAGATTCTTCAGATGAGGTAAGATTTAAAATGTAAAAAATAGAAACCTAAAGGTGTTACAATAAAAGAAAATGTGGTTATTGTGTAGTTTTAAGATCTCACTCTGAGGCTAAGAGTGGTTTCTAGGAAGCCTATATTTATAGTTAATGACCAGGACAGGCTTATGGCATGTTTTTCCTTCTTGTTTAAATTCATTTTTCTCTTAAAAATGGGAAATAGGAATTTGCCCTAGAAAACTACCCCAAATTTATGTAGTTTTTGTTTATACAATGAATTTATTTTATAAGTGTATTTCAGCATTGGGATTGAGCCTGGCTATTTTTGCTATGGGGATGGGGTGGGAGAACTTTTGAGTCTAAACTATCTACTCTTCAATAGAGGAATGATTTAATAAATTCATGTGTATTCAGAATATGAAGTAATATGGGGTTATTAAAAAAAAAACTTTAGCTGGCCACCAGTGGCTCATGCCACTCATTCCTAGTTACTCAGGAGGTGGAGATCTGAGGATCCTAGGTGGAAGCCATTGGGGAAGGAAAGTCTGTAATACAGATTTTTATGTCTTTTTTATTTTCTTTTTCTTTTTTTATATTAGTGGTAGAGCTTGAACTCAGGGCCTCAGTGTCATCCCTGAGCTTTTTCACTCAAGGCTAGCACTCTACCATTTTGAGTCACAGCTGTACTTCAGGTTTTCTGGTAGTTAGTTAGAGATAAGAGTCTCAAGGACTTTCCTGCTCAGGCTGGCTTTGAACCTTGATCTCAGATCTCAGTCTCCTGAGTAGTTAGTATCACAGGTATGAGCTGCCAATGCCCAGCAAGACTTTTATCTTTGATTAAAAGATGGAAGTAGAGCTGTAGCTCAAGTGGTTAGAGCTCTACCCTTGAGCATAAAAGTTTAGGGACAACAGTGCTCAGGCTTAGAGTTCAAGCCCCACAGGGATGGACCAAAAAATAAGTAAAAAATAAACTTTTTTTTTCTGGTCCTAGGGCTTGAACTCAGGACCCAGGTATTGTCCCTGAGCTTCTTTTGTTCAAGACTGGCACTCTACCACTTGAGACACAGTGTTATTTCCTGATTTTTCTGAGTTATTTATTGGAGATAAAAATTTCACAGACTTTTCTGCTAGTGCTGGCTTCAAACCATGATCCTTAGATCTCAGACTCCTGAGGAGGATTACAGGCATGAGCCACTGGGGCCCAGCTTCTAATATCTCTTTTTAAATCTTGTTCTTTCTCTTTTGTTCATCCCTCTTAGATATTGAGTTTCAGACTTCTTTATGTAATGAATTTTATGTAATTGTTCTTTAATTATGATTATCCTTCATGTGCTGTGATACTTTTTGATGGTGGAAACGTTACTGTATTTTAACCCCTCATCTCTTAATACACTATTCTTGTGACAGCATCTAAGAAGACTACTTTTAGAGTATGCATGTATAGGCATGTATACACATGTATGACCTTTAAATTGTAATTTTTTTTTTTCCTCAGCCGGGGGGCTTGAACTCTGGGCCTGGGCGCTGTCCCTCAGCTCTTCAGCTCAAGGCGAGCGCTCTACCACTTGAGCTACAGCGCCACTTCCGGTTTTCTGGTAGTTTATTGGAGATAGGAGTCTCACAGTCTCTCCTGCCCGGGCTGGCTTTGAACCGCGATCCTCAGATCTCAGCCTCCTGAGTAGCTAGGATTACAGGCGTGAGCCACCAGCGCCCAGCTAAATTGTAATTTATAATTAACTTAGTTTTTGAAAATACTTTTCTTTCTTTTTTTTGGTCCTGTCGTGGGGCCTGAACTCTGGGCCTGGGCTCTGTTCCTCAGCTCTTCAGCTCAAGGCTAACGCTCTACCACTTGAGCCTCTGCGCCACTTCCGGCTTTTTTCTTTTTGCTTATGTGGTGCTGAGGAATTGAACCCAGGGCCTCATGCATGCAAGGCAAGCGCTCTACCACTGAGCCACCTTCCCAGCCCCGAAAATACTTTTTATAGTTTACATACTTACCACATTTTTAATGAGATAAAAATGGGGTAATTTTGACATTTGAAAACTTAAGAATTTGAAGTATTGCCGGGCACTGGTGGCTCATGCCTGTAATCCTAGCTACTCAGGAGGCTGAGATCTGAGGATCGCGGTTCAAAGCCAGCCCGGGCAGGAGAGACTGTGAGACTCCTATCTCCAATAAACCATCAGAAAACCGGAAGTGGCGCTGTAGCTCAAGTGGTAGAGCGCTCGCTTTGAGCTGAAGAAGAGCTGAGGGACAGCGCCCAGGCCCAGAGTTCAAGCCCTACGACCGACAAAAAAAAAAAAAAAAGAATTTGAAGTATTTAGCTGGAAGTGAATAGAAGGAATATCTACTTTGCACTCTGTGTGTGTGTGTGTGTGCGTGCGTGTGCGTGCGGGTGTGTGTGTGTGTGTGTGTGTGTGTGTGTGTTTGACTGTCTTGAGGCTTGAAGTCAGTGCCTGATTGCTGTCCCTGAACTTTTGTGATAGAAGCTAGCACTCTACTACTTTAGTCCCAGCTCTACTTCCAGCTTTTTGGTGATTATTTGGAGATAAGAGTCTCACAGACTTTCTTGCCCAGGCTGGCTTTGAACTGCAATCCTCTCAGATCTCAGCCTCCTGAGTAGCTAGGATTATAGGTGTGAGCCACTGGCATCTGGCCACTTTGCTTTTTTGTTGAAGAGAATTATTAGAAATAATGTGGTTTTATTTTACTATGCAATTCTGTATTCCTCAAGGTGATGTAACATATATGTTATAAAGAACTTGAACTTTATTTTTCTTCTTTTTTTGTGCTGATACTAGGCCTGGAAGTCAGCACCTCATACTGTTGCTTTAGATTTTTAGCTCAAGGTTAGAGATCTACCACTAGAGCCACACATCCGCCGTTGGACTTTTGGTTAATTGGAGATAATATTCTCTTCAATTTGTCTGCCTGGGCTAGGTTATAACCATGGTTTTGAGATCTCAGCTTCTTAAGTACTCAAGATTATAGGTGCTGGTGGTTCACACCTATAATACTAGCTTCTCCTCTGTTTTCTCCCTCATAATGAGCTCAAATTGGATATTTGATTGGCTAATAGAGTGAGTAGCCTAAGGACAGAACCTGTAGAATCATTCCTGTGCTAGCCGTGGACATTTCATAGTGTCATTTCTATCTACTATGTCTTATTAGCTTTAAGTGGGTTATTAAGAGAGGATCACATTCAGTGGGAGGAGATAAAGATTTTTTTTTTAAGGCAGCTGTTTTAACAGTTGATTCAGGCTCTAATTCTTTTGCTTTTGTTCATATTTTTGTCCATTGTGGGGTTTGAACTCAGGGCTTGGACACTGTCCCTGAGCCTCTTTGTGCTCAAGGCTACAGCTCTACCACTTCAGCCATAGCACCACTTCTGGTTTTTGAGTGGTTAATTGGAGATAAGAGTCTCATAGGGACTTTTCTCCTGGGACTGGCTTCGATCTGTGGTCCTCATATTTTAGCCTCCTGAGTAGCTAGGATTACAGGTGTGAGCCACTGGCACATTTTTTTTAAATTTAATTTAATTTTATTTGTGAACATACTGTACAGAGGGGTTACAATTGCATGGGCAGGATAATGCGTACATTTCTTACCAAGCATTGCAGCCTCCTCCTTTGTTTACCCTTCCCATCCCTTCCCAGCCTCCCCCCCCCCCCACTGGCACATTTTTTAAATAGGGTTTTTCTTTTTACCCAGGTCAGCCTGAACCATGATGTTTCTATTTATGTTCTCCTTATACCCACGATAATAAGCATACCCTACCATGTACACCTTTTTATTGGTTGAAATGAGGTTTCATAGAATTATTTCCTTTGTTGGCCTGTAAGTGTGATCATCCTGACCTTTGCTTCCTGAATAGATTGGATTACAGATGCGAACTACTATATCTCTTAATGACATTTGAAATTTGTATTGCACTTTTATTCTTTTGAAAGCATTTTAACACCTATTACTTAAGATGATCAAGCAGAATCGATGAAGATGGAAATTTAGATGGAGGAAATAGATTAAGGGATAAGATAGTATAGCAGAGGAAGAATACCAAGAGATGTTCTAGAAAGAATAACTTTTATGACATTAAAAAAATTTCATTATGTCTTATAAAAGTATTTTCTTTCCTTCCTTCCTTCCTTCTTTTCTTTGTTTTGACAGTTGTGTTATATTAGAAAGTTAATGAAGAATTGGATAGTGGTTTGAAGATTAGAATTTCTCCACCTTTGCACTATTGGCTCATTAATATTATCAAGCCAACCTTTTTTTTATGATTTCATTTCTTTAATTCAACACACTGTACATAAAAGAGATAGCATCAGAAGAACCTCTTAGTTACTACATATATTTGTAATAACTGCAAAAAATTAAAACACATTTTATGGGCTTAGAGTATGTATATGCCTCATAGTATACACAGGGTTGGGGCCCAAGTTTGATTCCCAGCTATGCTCCTCCTCCAAACAACAACCCCCCCAAAAAAAATCCCTTACAATTTCAAATTGGAAGAGACTACATGAAACCAAATTCAGTCATTTTATATAAAAGATGAAGAAATATTTGAGCCTATTACAATGGCAAGATTTCTGTTTTTCAGTTTTATTTCAATGAGCCTTACATATTATAATCTACTTTAGAAATACTTTATTCATACAAGTTTTGTCAGGTATTTGTCTTCATGTCCCCAAAGAACAGAACATTATGTACTCAACAGTGCTATTTATACACATGGCATTCTTTATACTATTCTTATTCTTTGTGTAGCTCATATGAAATAAGAGGAGAAAATGTTGCTTGTGGTGTATGGAACCAGAACAAAACTGAAATTAAGGGCACACCTTAACTCCTTAACTTTCAGAAGGCTTTGTAAATTTAGCCTGTTTTTTGTTTTTTATTTTTGTTGGTCATGGGGCTTGAACTCTGGGCCTGGGCACTGTCCCTCAGCTCTTCAGCTCAAGGTGAGCATTCTACCACTTGAGCCACAGCACCACTCTCAGCTAGCCGCTGTTTTAAAG